CGAAAATAGGGAAAGAGAAGACGACGAGCTCTGTATGACTTTAGGGAGAGATCCTCAACTTTAAGAGTTTTGATCTCCAAGTTGGCCGACTGGTTCAACTACAAGGAAGAGGAAGAGGAAGGGAGACTTCAGGGGTATTCTCTTAAGGCTTCTGAAAGGGTGAAAAGAAAATAGAGATCCCTACCACTTCTTAAGAAAGCTTTATAAGACCAATTTCTCTAAGCTAAATCAATCAACTAACCACAACTCTCTACTTAATCCCACAACTTTTAGCGACTCCATAAACTTGAGTGTTACAATTTTAATATTAATCTTTTATAACAACTTTTAACATTAATCATGCATGTTATGCTATTAGACATTTTTTAGTTATTAATTATATAAATTGTTTTATATTAACTCGTTAATTTATAATGTGACAATTTAGCATTTATAACAAAATTTATTAATTTTTATATTAACTAATATTTTTAATATATTATATATATAATAAATGCTTATTTTAACATTAACTAATATTTTTATTATGTAACAATTTAACTTCCTGTAGGTTATGGAGTTGATCGAACAATTTTCGATGCTATTGTTACAATATAAATTATATATTTATCTAAATCTAAAATATTACTTATTCAAATTTTAAATATAATTTATATATTTAAATACATAATTTATCTTAAATTTTAATTAAATATAATAAACATTTAATATATGTATAAATCATCAATTCGTAAAATAAATATTTGTTAACTGAAATAATTTTTAAAGTTTTATAATAATAAAAGAAAATACATGAACTGAACAAACTTTGTACAATACTCTTTTTCAATTTAATTCTTGCCATTTTTTGTTATACAAATACAGCCAAGAATTCTCGTTGTTTGAAAGTTAAATAGTATATTTTACTTTATTTTTTTAAAAAAATTTCAAATATTTTGAGATGAAATATTTTATTTGAATGAAAAATTTATAAAAAATTTAAATTTAAATATTTGTAAAATTATTTAAAATAATAAAATTTTAATTTTTTTTAAAAAATGTAATTTTTTTAAAAAAATTTAATTTTTTTTTATATATTTTCTCTTTATGATTTTACATGTATAACTTTTATCTCTCTCCTATCTCTTAGTAATTAAATATTTAAAAATATATTTAAAATTATTGGGAAAACAACAACAAAAAAGAATTCTACCTAAAATTATTCTGCCCGGTTAATAACATTTCAAAATTGGATGATCAATAACCACTAGATGACATAATAACATGGGTATATAAATGTCCTTGAATTTAAAATATTTAAAATATTTAAAATATTTAAAATATTTAAAATTTTCAATCCAAAACAAACACAAGCATGTGCATTTAGGAAAAAGAAAATAAATAAATTATTAAATATTTATACTAATATATAAAAGAGATATTTATTTTAATAATTACTTTAATTTTTATATTTTACTAAAGAGGACAAAGCACTTCGTGCTTTTAATAATTATACACAAATAAATATTAAAAATTATAGATAATTTTTATAAAAAAAATATAAGAAACTTTTTTTTACTTTTTAACGGATATAATAGTCCACTAAAAAATGAAGATCAAATGAATAAAAATATATCCCCTTAAAAAATAATCTTTATGCTCTTTTAATTTAAAAAATTAAAAAATAATTTATATTTTTATCAAAATCAAAATCTTTAAAATTAATAGATTAATCATAACATTAAATCAACTATATTTATTATTTAATTTTAATTTTATTTCAAAACCTTTGAAATATTGTGTATAAAAACATTGGGCAGAATCCAAGCAAAAGCTAATTAGGTTTTGAGATCCGCAAAACCTTTGAAGCACAACCATGGTTTCTCGCCCTGCCTCCAATAACAGCAACAAAACCCAATTTCAAAACCGACCGATTATGGCAAAACGGAACTCCAATGCAGGTGCGGTTTCGGTGAAGAACAAGAAGAGGGTTTGGAAGAACGGTCCTGGCGCTGCTCCCAACAAGAGCAGGGTCCAATCGAAGTATCCCGTTTCTCGTGCATCTCATACGATTCGTAAGGTATTCTTCGTCTCTTATCGCAATTCCTTTGTTTCTTTCGTCGCTTATGCTTTTGTTTGATTCGGTTTTAATTGCCTCCTTTTGGGGAAACTGTAGTGTAGGGTAAAACTCTGCTCTTTGTGTTGCGCATATTATAAATCTCAAGGCTTTACAAATTAATCGATTTATGTTCACCCGGTGTCCATCCAGTGTGTAAATATAGTTAATTATGTTTAACTAGTAGTTAAAGAGAACGTGATTGTATACCTATTATTGATTATTGATACGTGGTTAATAGTTTAATGAGTAACGTGGTTAAATCGCTTATGTAATATTTTAAAGCTCACAATTTAGAACTAATCTGTGCCTGCAGAACGTGGTTTTCACTGACCATGCATTATTTTAAGATTTATGGGAATCAATCTTATGAGCACTGAAATGTTTGATGGAGGTTATCTTTGTTGAATGTTGTTGATAGAGTCGTGAGGTTATTGAGATGTCTCATGGTAGTTAACTTTGTCTTACAAGTAAATAATATAGAGTTATAAACCACATTTATAAAGTGTATTCAACTACGGTCATTTACTCTCTGTGTCTACACATGCAGTTAACCACATGTTTGGGTGAAAACGCTGGGTGAACATAGTCTAGCGGGACGTTCAACGCTTACCCTGCATTTCACCATGTTAATAGATAATTTGTGGATAGGATGAATTACTGAAAGTTCTCAGTACTATAGTTGTTTTCATTCATGTTTCTCTCTCTCTAATTATCATTACCGTTTTGAGTGATGCTATGTCATTTGTGTTCACATCTTTTCATTCTAATCACTCCCTCTCAAATTTCCCATTTCATTCATTCCTCAATATTGCAACTATATCAATATATTGATTGAATTCATATGTGAATTCCTATTTGCAGACTGGGCCATTTCAATTCAGAGGTAGGGGACATGGTGTGAATGGTGGTAGACATATGCCATCTCATTCTTATGGACCTGCTATAAATAAACATAAGAGTGGGCAGATTCGTACCTCCCAATTGAATTTAAGATTTAAACGTAAGAAAGTTCAGAAGTATGAGAGAAAAAAACGTCCCAATGAAACCGTGTATAAAACATGTGATTTGTGTGATGTTAAATGCATATCAAAAGAAGATTACATGCTTCACATGACTGGGTATAAGCACTTATCAAAACTATATAAAAATGATACTTATTGTGAGTTGTGTGGTATTGATTGTCAATCATTCGCAAATTACGATGATCACTTGAAAGGGAAAAGGCACTTAAGTATAGCTAACCCTTCACCTGAGTTGACTATTATTAAATGTGAGTTGTGTAATGTTAGGTGTTTATCACAAGATGAGTACCAGTCTCACATTACTGGGAAAAGGCACATAGGGAAACTATGGTTTGCTAGTGAAGTTATTGAGCAAGTTGTTTCTCAAACTGTAAACTTGGGTCTTCAAACGCATTACCCGCCTGAAATCAATGTTCTGTCTAATGCAATTAATGCTCAACTTGAACAAGGTGTTGATAATCCACAGTTACGATATGCTCAGCTCCTGATGACAGTACTGTCTAAAGTTTCAGTACCAGAACCAGTGAGAGACACCATGGCTGCTCAGACACCAGTACCCACGTCTAAGGCTGGACCAAGTTATGAACCCCAGTTGTTGCAGAGACAAATATCATCAGAAATCACAGCACATGTTAAGACTGAAAATCCTATTGGGGAAACAAATGAGCTGTTACCTGTTATTACACTGGGGTCAAACACAGAGCCAGGTTCAAGTGTCAGCACCCAGATTGAAGGTGGATGTTCGGAAACTAAACAACAGGTATAAATATTCAAGATAGTTGTGACACCCGAACCCAATTCAGGAGCAGCCAATGACCAAAATGCCTTCAGAATGTACCACCTGGTTGGACCAAAGAAGATTCATTCACTCTCTTTCTCAATTTTTCACCTTTTTGAGTTGTCATTTATTATCTGTATGTATTGCTAGCCATTCCGGTGTTTGGACATGCTAGAAATCTTTTTAGGGATTGTTGTTGGGACTGGATTAGTGCAATGATAGTTACATTTAGGATTGAAAGAGATTAAAAATTGCAGTTATTGCGTGTGGAAATTTTTCATGTAACGCTGAGGCTTGGCATATCGGTTGGCTGGTTAAAATTAAGTATTTATAAGGGCAGGTATTATTCAAAACCTGAAGCCTGAAACAAGTTGAATCTTAATTCGTCTTTTGGTTGCAATCAAGTGTCGCAAATGAAGGGATAGTGGAGGAGGGGGCAAATTAAAGAATTAGATTTTTTTTTTAAATGTTAATTTTATAATGATTATGGTTAGGAACGGGATGAGGTTTTTGTTCTATTCAGGTATCAATTTTTCAGTAGTGAAGCATATCTTCCAATTTTTTTGGCTCATACATTAATTTATATTAGCAGTCTTATTTAAACTATTGGTAAACAGGACCGGGTTACCTCGTAATACAGGTGGTGTTTTTTTATTAATTAGTTATCAATAAAGGCTTGCATTGACGCAAATTACTCGTAGTCTACTTATTGTCATTTTGTAGCAACTTTGAATTGCCATAAAGGAACGAGTAATAAACAGTAAAAAATGATAGCTTGCAACAGTTTTAAAATCATAAATTGACCATCACTAGCTCAAAATGACCTCATGCCAGTGACTTCTTTCAATTCTTTTACACCTTGAATTTTGCATTCATCCCATGATCAGAGATTTCAAACCCTTAATCATACTCTTCTTTTGCAAGAATAATGTGTTATAAACGCCTTATTGGACCTTCAACTATGATGATCTTCCGCAACAATCAAAAGTGATGTCTACTTAGCACACAACCTAGTCCCCCTTACTCTTTCCAACAAGTACATAATCCTCCATATCCTGAGGTTTTACCGATACACTAACTTACCAACCAAATTGCTCTCCAACACGATTTCTACTGCTTATCCAGCTTGAGCATGAGGAAGAAATGGAGTGTTGGAAAAATCAATTCAAATTCTCAAATATTAATTCAAGTGAGTTAAATTCAAGATGTAATAAATTGATAAATGAAAGGTTACGTTCATCGATATATGCTTGATAATTTTATATATGCTTGATAATTTTCAAGGTGAGTGACTACAAAAGAGCTCTACTAGGGATAAAGTGAAAATGTAGAACAATTAAAATTCACTAAATTGTATCCATGAATAGATTCATTCATCATCACTGTTAAAAAGGGTCCTTGTGATGTCAAGGTACAACACCAGCCCTATTGAGGAAGTCGTATGATTATTATTGTAACAAAGCTAAACCTCCCTCGTATGATTTATTTAAACCAATGAAATATTTTCTCATTCAAACATTTGAAATTTTAATATTTCAGAAGACATCATTAGCCACTGACAAGTCATTTTATCACGATTAATTTCTTTTGGTATTTTTATAATATATATTCATCATAATAAATCATTTAAAATAAATGATAATAAAATTTCACTGCTTGGAATTTATTTTACTTGAGCTTTCCCAATCATTATTCTTTATAATCTCGTTGAATAATCAGAAATAACCTCCATTCGAGCATTTATTCCTTTCAAACAAAAAAGTTGATTCGTGGTCTACATCTCAAATAATAGTTACTCTATGCTCTATTATCGATATCTTAAACCATTCTTCAACCCAAACCTTTCTCTAATTGCAATCTTTACCAGACATGCTATAATCCAATAAGCACGTCATAATTCAACAAGCGATCAAGTCAATCCAACTTGTTCCATCCTTTAATGGTAAAAAGCTAGAGATGAAGAACAAAGATAACAGATGAAACAAACTTGCACCTATTACACCTGTTGCACAAGTATACAACAGAAACATGAATTACCAGTGAACAAGAACACTATGCTGCAGGTAAACGAATTTATTTAACTGAGGTGAAAAAACAAGTGGGAGTACCAAGACTCGACATATACTTCCATTCATAAATTTTCAAGCAAGTTTTTTATTTAATTTAATTAGAATGTAATGACGGATCAGTTTTTTAGACTAATATCGAATCACAAATTACCATGTCATTTATGGAATAATTTATGATTGAAAGTGTAAATCTTTATAATGCTTAAAAATTAAACTCCCATTATTGATGCTCATAAAACAGTATTCAAACAGGCCCTTCCTTTTCCTTGTTTCAGCATTTCCTTTAGAAAATCATGAAGTAAATAGAGTAAAAGAAGGTAACAGTTTAGTAATTATTTGTAACAACTTATAAACTAAAAATGAAAATAAAAATCAAACCAAAGGCACAAGTATGCATGAGATTTCATTTTGAACACAAGTGTGCCACGCATCATAAAAAAAGGGTGGTCCAATGCAAGAGACTATCACTCTAGTTTCAGGAAGGATTTCAGGTTCAAAGCCTCTCCGGCTCTGCCTCATTAGTCGATAGGTTGTTTCCACAGCGTGAACCTATAATCTTGTAAAAAAACAACCTTACCATTGCACCGAGGCTTTTAGCCACTATAAATCTAGAATACCAAGCAGAAAAAAAATAAAAAATTCTTATCATAGAATTTTTATAAATAATTAGAAAAAACTGCATATTTTGATGTAAAACTGATTACAAAAAAATTCAGATCAAATATCAGGAAAAAAAACTAGCAGATAATCCCCCTCCCCCAAAGCTTTCCAAATAACTTCCAACAAAATTAGGGGTGACAATAAACTTAATCAACTTGAACTCGATTTGATAATTAGCTTGTTGAATTTGGTTCTTGAACTAAATGAGTCAAATTTGAGTTGACCATAATTTTGCTTTTTTGTTCATCAATCGCCTAAGTATATAACTATATAATTTATATAATTGACTTTCATTTTAATTCCAGCCTATTAAAATTTAAAAGAACCTTCAAAATTTAGATATAATAATAATAATAATAATAATAATAATAATAATAAATAGACACCTTAGGATTTCAAAGTTCTAGATTGCATTTTTTATTATTTTATACAATGCGAAGTAGTTTTTATTTATATAGACTGATTAATTGTAATCATGTTTTTTCAGGTCATACCTTGTAGACTTACAAATCTAATAGAATAGGTTTTGTTGTCTTTAAAAAAAAAATTTAAACAATCACATTATCCAAAATCTATTAATAAATTGAAGATTTGAAATGTATAAAGTTCAAATAATTTGACTCTTGGTTCATGTAACTCGAGCTAAAAAAAAAAGTTCTTGTCAATCTCAAGTTGAATTTTTAGCTGAGCCAAATATTATAATGTCGACCCGAGCAACCCTAAACAAAATATATACACACGAAATCAGATGTTGGAAGCAGACTTGAACATAGATGCTTATTTCAGCAAACACACAAGATTAAATTACTATCAGAGGATACCAAACAAAACCAAATGGGTTGATGTAGTTTAGGGGATAGAAAAAATTACCGGACTTCGTTGTTCTTTATGCGACAAACAAGACTTGAAGATAAGAACATCAAATTACCATCTTTGCCTCTTCAAACCAACTGAGAAGAAAATGTTCAAGAAAAAACAAAGATAAGAACAAATTTAAAAGTCAATGACTCCAACTTACAATTAAAGCAATTTTGCATCAGCAATATGTCCCACTTAATTTTCACTGAAGCAATTCACTATATATTAAGTTAAAAGTTCATTAGCAAAGGGTAGGGAATCAGTGATTGAGTGCTATGAAGCTTAAACCAACCAAACCAAGATGATCCAGCAGAGCAGACCAGAAGATCAACTGCCCTTCCATCAGTGCCACAACATCTAGGATAAAGTCCTTAACTAATTCTTGGAAGTTAGCACAATGTAACAATGAAAAAATAACTTATACATACCCAGTGCTTGGAAGTCAAGGTATGAGAACAATATTACGTCATCCAACTTCCACACCCAGTGCTTGGAAGTCAAGGCATGAGAACAATATTACATTGTCCAACTTCCACACCCAGTGCTTGGAAGTCAAGGCATGAGAATAATATTACGTTGTCCAACTTCCACACCCACCATTCGGACTGCCAGCAATCAGTTAGTGAACAGCTTCCATGTATACTCCGCATGACCAGAGTAACAGACCATATTTTTCCATGCACAACTTCGCACAAGCCAGGAACCTGCCTAACAGAGAAAATTCACTATAATCATTCACATCAAGTTGAAGAATGCATAAATATAAGTAACTTGAAAGCTAAACACTCAAATGAGAATCATCTTAAATACACCAATTCAAAGAACACCCCTAATTTATGAAAGCCTGCATACATACCATCTAGGTATAACAATTTACGGTTAATATACAAAGCAAAGTAGAAGCACATGCTAATTTTATTGACATGGAGCATTATCAACACTCTTGTTAAATAGCCCCAAAAGCAATGTTAGTGCAATTGCATTGCAGCGTTCCTTGGATCTGTCGTGACTGTCAACTATTGTGGCCACTATGGGTGTGGTGATTGTGGTATGTGCTCCGCATCCTCATCATTTCCACAAGTCACCAGCAAATTGAAATTTTGAAAAAACATTGTGCCATTTTTTATACATAATTGATATATATCATATATTTCAACCACTATGCGACTTTCACTATTTGTACACAACGCTATCTGCCATTTTCTGTTATATGCAATTGATCACTCTGTAGGCCAAAATAGGAAAACGTTATAATAAATCATCAACATTCAATCTGTAGGCTAAGAAACAATTATTATAATACACAAATGATTTCATGAACACCTTGATGTAGCTTCTTAATAACTTATAGGCATCCTAAAATAAAATCCAAACAACCAGGGTTGATTCTCATTGTATTTGACTTATAATTATTTTTTTCATATCACAAACAGATACTGATTGTGGAAAAACTAGGAAAAATTATATTTTGACAACAGCATAATAGAACTTGCTTCTGATCTAGCAAAACATTATAGTAATATTTTGGAACACTCAAATATAACTTATCATTTATATTTACTTTTTGTTAACTACTAGACTCCTCAAAACTCAAAAGGGGATTTGCCTAACATACCCAAGGCTCAAGTGAAAAAAATCCCTCAAAATCTTAACAATGTTCTCAAACACAGTTCCTTCAAAACCCTTTTTTGGACAAGCAATTCTCTTCAAAATGTGAAACCTCACAGAAATTGGGAACTCAAACTTGGTTCATATATCATAATACTTAATGCAGATTGGACAC